TTTACAAATTATTTTTAACAAAAGTGATACAAAACATCAATAGAAAAAAAGAACTTTTGCAGATATAGTTTATACTATAAAATCAAACAAAACAAACAGCTTAATATTTTTTATATTTTACATTATAATCATTTTATTATATTTATTAATTATATATCATTGTATATCAATGATAAATGCTGATAGATTTTTAAATTTTCAATAACAAATCTATTTATATTAATAATAAATACTTTGTAAATGAATGTAAACCAACCTCACTTCCAACTTTTTAAAAATTTCATTCATATTTTTTAGATGCAAGATTTTTTTTGGCCAATGGGCTAATTTATCCTAAAAAATATATATCTTGTTCTCAAGCTGCACACATTTCATTTGTAACATATCAGTAACATGTTTTTTTTATCTCAAGCTGCACACATTTCATTTGTAACATATCAGTAACATGTTTTTTTTTTTAAAAAGTAACAACAAAATTCGTTTGAATTATATAAACAATATTTTGGTTCTTCAAAATGTCATAATTTTTTTGAAGTTTCTAAATACTTTTCTACAACTTAATTAATATAAATGATTAAATTATCCTTAATTCACATATCAATTGTCATTTATAAATTTTATTCTAAAATTCACAACCTTTTTTCTTAAAATTGTAAGAATTCAATAGCAATTTAAGTTCGTATTTGAAATCATAATATTCATCAAGTGTTATAAATATTAATTGTTATTCATAAATTTTGTTCTAAGATTTATAAATTTTTTTAAAAATTGTAAGAATTCAACATCTCGCAAGTTTGAATTAAGAATAATTTGATAATTTATATTTAATTCTTAATGTTATAAAATTTCTTAGGGACTTAAAAAAATTATAACATTTAGGATATTAAAATGTCATTTACATAATTCAAGGAAATTTTATTATCATTTTTTTAATAAGTACTGAATTTTTTTTAGAGAAGAAAATAATAAATGCAAGCAAATAAGAGTATGGAGAAAATAAAAAAAGAAGATAATAAAATTTACATGCCTCTTATCAATGAGAGCTTTAATTTTACTCCATTTGTTAAAAAATATAAAGCATTTTTAATCGAATCTCATTCCCAATAAAGTAATTATCTACTTTCAAACTAACCTTATTTTTTTCATATTCACCCCTATTAAACACCCTACAATAAATATAAATTCATTATCAGTAGGGGCACTGAAAAAATTAAAAATGCATTACATTTTTTAACATTCAATTTTTAAAAAATATTTTATATTTTTTAACAGAGTAAGTATACCTTTCTTTTCATTTGTTTTATATAAAAGGATATTTTAATTGATAGGGAATAATAAAATTATAATTTTTCTCTTAAATTATATTACCTATAAATAATGAGAATAGTGTTGCTCAACTAAAAAAAAAATGAGAGCATGATCATGTGTGTTGAAGGTAGAGATTACAATTTTACCCCTTCTTAAATTGTGTTAAAAAAATAATAAAAATAATTTTTCATGTCATGTGATATGTGAATCAAATTAACCTGACATGGCAATAACCATGTTAATAAAATAACAATTACTTAATGATAACAGTTTTTGAAAAATAAATTAAAGATTAGAGAATTTAATTTTAAATGTTGAAAGGTAAAGTAAGTCATATATAATTGTGTTAAAGTTCAAAAGAGTTTTATATATTTTAGCCAAATTTTTATTATCATTGTTATCATTTTTTTTAATATAGCCATATTAAATTATTATTTTGATAGTGCTATTGCTACCCTTTTTCACAACCTCTGGAGCAAAAAGTACAATTTTTTTAACCATTTACAATGGCAATGTGTAAAATTATTGTTAACTTTAAAATAAAATAAACTATCAGATAGATACATCTTTTAAATTAAATATTATTATGCATGTTAACAATAGAATTTTCAAATTAATTATCAAGTATTACTGAATTTGTTAAAATGTATATTCAAAATGATCTAAACTTAAAGGGGTGCAAAATCTTATGATTTGAGAGGGCAAAACACAAAAATTTATATTACTTTCATATAATTTCTCCCAAAATGAGGGATGCATCTGCGTCCCTTAAATTTGTAGCTTCACCGTTGCAGCTAAATAATGCCTTGAGACAAACAAGAAAGAAAAGAAAAAAGAAATAAGCGAATTTTTCTCTAATCTCGTGTATCACATGGGACTTTTTTTTTTTTTGAAAAATATGAATATGAATTGTCTGAGTTTACTAACCCGACTACTTTTACAATTTTGTTCGATTTTTTTAATTGTTAAACTAATTAAACTAGAGCATAAGGCCATAAGTTAAGTAATAAAGTAAATTATTGGATCCAACAAGCGAATTAACGCGATTACAATAATATATGAGTTTTTTCAGGGTAATATATATTATTAGAGGACAATGTGAGTGGCCAAGAAATATGCTCTGGCAGATAATTTAATTCTGTTTTTCTTTTTTTCACGTCATGGTTCATTTCCACAACCTTTTCACGGTCAACGCTCGAGGTTTTATTCTCTAGCCTATACCCACATGTATATGTATTTGCATTACGTTATTTTGAAGATCACACACACACACGTTTTGCGCAATTTTGGTCAAATTTTGTTACCGAAATTAATTCAAACTCGTAAACGAATTTTTAACGTATCTGTAACAATATAACACCCCCTTCCAAAATTAAATACAATTTTAAAAAATTACGTGAGAACAGGGCTGCGCCGTAAGCCGTAATATTTCAAAATAAAGTATCCTATATAAAAAAAAGTCAAAGGAACCTGTCCCGTTGTTTACGTTTTATTTATATATTTTTCTGGAAATGGAAAGCACTGTTCACTGTTTAGGCCTCATCATGGATAAGGTTAAGGTTAGGCTAAAATAAAATGTTTCTTTTGGTACTAAGAAAAATTAAATATTTTTTATCACTGAATTTTTATTTCACAGGCTTCACAGTTTTTATTTTCATTCTTAATTACATTCTCAAATGTTTAGACGATCCAGGCTCAATTCAATTTTAAATAATTTCATAAAAATACGGAATGGAATATCGTGCACCTTATATAATTTAAAATTACTATAATGTTGCTTAATATTCATGCCTTTGAACTTTGAAATTTTCATAATATATTATATAAATAAATACTCTCTTTATTCAAAAAATATAAGACATTTTTTTAAAAGGTTAAATGTTAAAAATGTAAAATATTTTTATGTTTTGATGTATTAATGTGTTTTTTTCAAAACTGCACATAAATAATAATTGTGCTTTTTTAAAAGTACTCATGATAAATAAATTATTTTATATTTATTTTAAAGTAAAATATTAAATTAAATAAAATTTATCACTTTATTAAAGTGAAATTTGATAAAAAATTGTTTTATATTTTTTATCAGAGGGAGAACAGCTATGCATAAGTACCCCCAAACTCTTATAATATCAAAATTTAATTTAAAAAGCAAGAAAACTTAAAGCGGCTAAAATTTCCAAGAGCAACCCTGATATTAATGTGATCACGCCTTAACCAGAATCTGATAAAAAAGTTGTTAAAAATTCACTCAAGAATTAAAAAAAAAAAGTCAAACAAACTGTCCAAATCTCACGTAAACAATATCGAAAGATAACAAGCATGTTGTGGCGGACTTGTGGTGATCATTTTTTTTCCCCATCCATACTCTTAAAATAATTATAAAAATCGAGAAACCTAAATTCAAACAGAACTTTTTTTCTAACACCAATAATATCTAGATATATACTGCCTCTTGTCCTGTATATTAGGCTCTTTCCAGGAGCACAATCTGATTCCCTTGATAAGCGATTAATTGATGAGATTATTATATTTTAAATTAAAATTCTTAATTTATTTTTAAAAAGTAAGAGAGAGACAGAAAAATAATATGATAAAGTATAAATTTAATCCTTTAATTTACACAATTTTTTATTTTATTTTTTAATTTTATAAGATGTCTTTTTAATCCTTCAACTCTAATATTGTTAGTTTTATCTCAATAAATTTTTACATTAAACTTTTAAATATTAACAAAACATTCTTCAATATTAATATATTAAGATTAATACAAAAATAATCATTTAAAATTGATGATATTAGGTTAAAGGATTAAAAAGATATTTATAAAATTAGAAACTAAATTGAAACAAGTTAGATGATTAAAAATATACTTTAATCTAAATAATATTATATGTTTTGTCTATTTTTTGCTTTTTATTTGGGGAATATGTTTAAATTTTATTTATTCTTATTTTTTATATTTTTATTATATTAATATTAAGGAATTATAAAAATAATTTATAAATAAGATTAGAAGGAATATTACATCATTATGACAGAAATTTGAAACAGTGAAAAGGGAAATTAACAATTATTCCCCATGTGTGAAGGACGGCGAGAACACACATTAAAAAAATTAAAAACTCTTGTTAGGTCTACAGATTAGTCCGTCCTGTTTGTTTTCATCTAATTTTAGTTTAAAATATAAAATTTAATATTTATAATTTTTTTCATTTTACTGATTAATCATTTTATTTATTAACATACATTTTTGTGTTTATTATAAATTTATGATCTTCGTTCACCATAAATTAAGATTAAGAATAAAATAAAACTAATATATATATATATATATATAGAAAAAATTTTGTTAATAAAAATCTGTTTATATTTTGTTTCGTAAAGTAACATAACAGTTGGATGGTTGAGTACAAAGAAAGGCGAAGCCCTAGAAGCATCGTGACATCATAATTCCCTGACCCACGTACAGTTCTCACCCCCACAATATAAGCCTCACCCCTCAGCCTCCCCAAAATCCTCCTCCTTTATCTTCCTCCTTTCTTGGTCTCTGTCTTGTTCATTTATGTAGGGTTTTCTCTCTGTGTCCTCCATCTCTATCATGACCAATATCCCCACATCTCTCACTGACTCTTCCCTCGCCCTCTTCTCTCTCGCCATATCAGCTTCTGATCCCTGGCCCTTCTCCTTCTCTCCCTTCCTTCTCATAGCCCTTTCCTCTTTCTCCATCTCTGGTTCAACCACTTTCTAGGGTTTTCCTCGACATGGGGTTCGTCTCCAGTGGAGACAGTAACAGTAATCAGAAGCACCATAGCCACCACCACGTGATTAATTTTCATCTCCATCTTCCTCACATCCACTTTCTGCACCACCAGGAGAAGAAGGATGGTGATCTGAAGGATATTCCGAAAGGTTGTCTCGCGATACTGGTGGGTCAAGGAGAGGAGCAGCAGAGGTTCGTGATTCCGGTGATCTACATCAACCACCCTCTCTTCCTGCAGCTCCTGAAGCAGGCCGAAGAAGAATATGGCTTCGATCAGAAAGGTCCTATCACTATTCCCTGCCACGTGGAGCAGTTCCGCACCGTCCAAGGCATCATCGACAAGGAAAACGCTCACCACCACCCGCACCACAACCACCACCACCACCACCATCACACTTGGTGCTTCAAAGCTTGATATGCGTGTGTCTGTGTGTATCAGTCACGGCTATATGTATCTACGTTTTTGTTTTCTTGATTTCTGAAACACCCAGAATGTGGTGTGGAGATGACAATGACTAAAGAGCTCTGGAATAGAAATTGTCCGTGTGCTCGGTATTACATGTTTAGATCAGTGACGAAATAAGGATGCTATATCGACATATATATTTCCTGTGATCTCACTCTTTATTAATTGTGGATCTCTGTGTGAGGCGTGAACGCGTGAAAGTGTCAAGGAAGGAATTAAAACTAAAAAAGAAGGAATTAAAGCTGGAAAAGGGGTTAAGTGAGAACATAATGAAGGGATACAGCAGTGTGTATGCTGTGTGGTGTAAAAAGAGGACAGAGATGGGAATATAGGAGGGTCCATGCATGGGGACAAAGTCACATATGGTGTTGGTGTTTTGGGCTGTTATGACGTTGCTTTCTGTGTTTTCTAATCCAAGAATGTATGGTTTCGTGGCTTTGCCTTTAATTTGGGATTTCTTGTGAGTTTGGTGGATGGTTTTAGAGCATGCTGTCCCACTTGTATTTGTCCTTCACATACGTCTTTGGGATCAGTAGGATTCAAGCAAAACAACAAGTACAGCAATTTCTGACCAGCAAATTAAAATATAATTGCTTTTATTTTTCTGTGTTTTTGTAATATTATAGATTTTTTGGGTGGCAGATATTTTTAAGTTTTTCAAATAATTTTAATTCATCTTTGCTTCTTTTTAAATTAGAAATATATCTTCTATATAATCCAAATTCATTTTCTTGTTATTTATTCTTCAGTTATTTTAGGAGCTTTTTTAGCTTTGGCCGTTCCTCTTACCGTCTGAACATTTATTGACTTAACTTTAAAAGTTCTTTTATAATAATTTTAAAGTTAATAGAAAGAATTAATCTTTTAATCAGTTACTTATTAGGCTTCAACTATAATTTTGCAACTCAGCAACTTTCGCTGCGATTCAGTCCCTCCTTTTGATTCACCTATAATTTTATCCGAGGGATCATGAACTAAACTAACATTTATTGACTAAATTGTAAGTGATTTAAAAGAGGAATTCGAGTCATTTGATCACATCATAGTTGAGGGACTGAATTAAAGTGAATTAAAAGTTGAGGAAAGACTAATTTTAATCAAAAGTGCAATATTTTTTTTTGGCCAAAAAGTGCAAGATTAATTAAACTATTATGTATTATAATTATTTTAAAAATGTTACATTGTACCTCTCGCCTTACGAAACTCTCGAGTTTAAACAAAAACCGAAGTGATGGGAAGTTAAAATTGGTGAGTTTCAAATAATTTGATGAAAAGGTGAATTTCAGACATTCCATGAACGTAGATAGTTGTTTATCAAGATCAATTCATCAAGTATCATTGCCATTTGAGAATAAAATATAGGACGTAACTCACTAAACATTTCCTCATCCAAAAAAGCAAATATAAAAAATTCGTCGAGGTCAAGCCATGTCACAGAATCATTCCTCGTTCGGTTTTTTCCACGAAGAGGGGATTTTGACTCGGGAAGCACTTTCTCAATCCATTTGATATTGAACTAGGGAAAAAAAAATATTGTTTTAGGATTCATTAGTCAATCACCTAAGTTCAGACACAATATCGTCGTATTATTTTTGCTGTATCAGGGGAAATTTTCTTCCTCTCACCCTCTTGTTCTAACGACCGAGCAAAACTGTTCAGTGAATTTACCTAAAACAAAAACAAAATTCAGGGAGGCAAGTGGTAGGATTCCACCATTTATGATTGCTCTGTAGGAGCCGCCTCTGCTCACATGCAAATCTCTTCTGACAGTTGAACCGGTCTCGTCATCTTTGCTGGCCAATTCCAGTCTGGGTTTGAAATTGAGCATTTGATTCTAGTAAGCATTTTTTTTTTTTTTAAATAATGTTCGAACAGTCATTCCGGCCACGAACAACTAATCATTCCTCATTTTATGTAGTTGACGTATTCCGGGGGCGAGCATATTTTTTAAAATTATTCAAATAACAACGGGCATTTCCTTTTTGTTTACCGGCCTTCATTTTTATTTTGGAATGAATATTATATGCAAATCTTTAGTATATCCCAGTTCTGGCTTCACAATTTCTTCGTCTCTATCGGTGGCCGTTACGGTTCCGATAAATTAATGAGAAAAATTTTAACACGAGACTTCGACAACGTCATGAGGACTTAAAAAAGCCAATCTCAAGACACGCACGATACAGCTGTTCAGGTTTAGGCCATTCGGCTAGCCATTTTGGGCCCCGTCTCTAATTTTGACCAATTTGTTATGGCACGGAGGCTAGGATTGCGACCAAATGCTCAGAATTCTTTAAAGCAATTTAGATATAAAACAATGTTTGACTTGCAATCCTCCATCCGAATCCTTGTTCCTGAAGGACTCATCACCGTGACCTATGGAGCCATAAATTGGTTTTTGACTGTAATTGAAACGTATTTAATCTCCACACGAAATCCCTTAATCCCTTACAATATAACATGCGCAATCTGTGCTGACATGTAAAATTGAAGGACAAGTTTACTTTGCACGCAAATTACATGCTAAGGAATAAAACAATATGTTAGCTCTATTTTCCCTCGACCCTCCGCCCACCCTTAAATAAAAAATATATAGTCCTTTTGTACCGTTTCCTTTTAAAATCAAATATTAAAAGGAAAGAAATGGGGAAAAAAGTAGACACAGACTAATTCCAATGATTAAGCTAAATAATAAAAAGACGATGGCTTTAATCATACTAGCTGTCGCTGTCTTGGATTTGAACTACGTATTGTGATACCATGCATGTACTTGGTATATCCGCTGAAACTCAGTTTTCCATCAGTTTTTCTGATCCAATCACGTATTATGGTGTAAGCTGAAGGACCCAGATTCATATCCTGAAACGTGTTATTCAAAAAGTCAGTTGGGCTTATGAATTAAATCAACTCATACCTGCGCCAACAGCTACTAGCATGCATACCTGCGCCAACTCCTCAACTGAAATGACTCTGTTTCCTCCCCGTCGAAATGCTCGAAAGCAGTGGTTGCAATTCTCTCCCAGTCTTCATGAACCTCGAGCTGGTATACACTGAGTGCGGCGGCACAAAACTCTTCAAAATCCATTTTTTTATAAGCCAGCGCCTCCATCTTAAATCAAGAAATATGGAATTCAGCATAATGATTGCACAGAACCATACAGTTTCATAAGGATAGAAATGGTAGGTAACACTACTATTTATTAATTAATACAATCCAATTGGGTGCGAAATGATGAATGGTGGAAGTGTCCTTGAATTTGCTTGACTGCTCCACTATATCGTTCGCATAACTTCTCCTTAAACTAATATAGATTCCACTGTGCCACCTATTTTCCTCAAATACTAAGTGCAGCACTTTCAATATTTATTCACCTCACCACATGTGACGCTCATGTCAGAGAGTGTTATAATAAAAAGTAAAAACTATTTTAAGGCCTTAACAGGTTAAGCCTGAACTGTAGGTGTATCTTCAACAAATTATATCATGAAACTAATGTTCGATTAATTATATGACTACCAAATCTTGCTAAACTTGCTATAAGCTAGGCTGGGAGAAAGAGATTTTAGCGGTGAAAAGGAGAAGGCTGGAAGTACCCTGAATTGAACTGAAAAATAATTACATTTATAAAAAAAAAAGGAAAGAAAGAAAGGAAAAAAATAAAAAAAAATAAAAGATGACTCACCAAATTTAAAATGTCAGGGACCCTTGATTCCTTCATGGTATCAGTAGCATTTTTCATGAGAGCCTGCATTTTCCTTTGATTTTAGTTGATATTTTGTGGTAACAATAGCAGCAAGAATCAACCGTAATGTTTGAACTTTACACGAAAAATAGATTATAGTAATGTTGTATGTTACAAACACTATCTCAATGTCATAAAAGAAGTAAAATTGTAAAACCAGGCACTCACCGCTCTAAAATTATCAAGAGAAACAAAACCATTGTTTGGTTCTAATAGGCGGAATTGTGTTCTTAGAAAGAAGAGTTCATCTTCTGGCAATGCTTTTGAGAGAGCCTGCATCATCAATGTATAAGAAACAAGGAAGATAACGTTACATTTAAGATGTAAGGTGTATTTGTTTAATGGCCGTATAACAGGTAACCTTCAGTGCGGCTCGTTTGAAAGGCGTGGCCCGCACATATAACTTGACCGACTTGAAGATTGAAATGTCTAATGGAATGGCACGTTTTTCATCTCTCAACCATGGATGGGCTGCAAATGTGGAGGTACCTCTCCATCAGTAAAAGTCATAGAACTAAATCAGAATGTGTGTGTGTGTGAGAGAGAGAGAGAGAGAGAGAGAGAGAGAGAGAGAGAGTGAGGGAGAGGGCATTTTGATTGCAAAGATTCAAATATTGAGTCAACCAGGGTCTGAGCAGAACATTCTAACAGATACCTAGAGCTTGGGCAGCAGACATCCTTTTTCTATGGTCCTTGTTCAAAAGCCTCTTTACAAAGTCCTTAGCTTCTGGTGATATTGATGGCCAAGGTAAATCATCAAAGTTAGGATTAGCTCTTAGCACAGACCGGAAGATTCCTGATTCAGTGCGTGCCCAGAATGGTCTACTTCCACATAACAATATGTATGTAATAACACCGATACTCCATAAGTCTGCTTCAACACTGTAAGATCTATGGAGCACTTCAGGTGCAACATAGTAGGCACTGCCAACAATATCATTGAGGCGTTGTTCTGCGTGAATATGAGAAGTAAATTGTCAGTTTTTGAAATCAGGAGACAAAACAAAACTAAGAATAATTAAGAACAATGCTTGGAGATGAACCTGTCAGAAAACAGTAAGAAATGCTCTACAGGTAAACCTATAGAATGAAGAATCTAATAACTGGTACTATGCCCCAAAGTGCAGAATGACATGACTTCCTAAGTCATGTGAATATAGACAAAGATTTCCACTGGGCATTCCTAAGGAAAGTTGCCAAACTGTGACAAAAAGAGTTCGCATATGATTACCATTTTCATTCCTCCGTTTCTAACTTCTCCCTTTTACTCCCATCAAGAACCAACTCCCCAGTGCACAGGCGGTTTAATACCAAGCACACTATATGAACATGTTTCTTTCGGTTAATTCTCACAAAAAATTTCTTTCGGTTAAAAGTAAGTAATAATAGCCAAAGTCTCTTTTGGTTCATCCCAAAAAAAGGCAACCAAGAGTATGGCAGAGAAATATGTCAACTTCTTTTAAAGAATCTATATTATCTATGTCAAATTCAGTAATAAGACTTGAGGATTTATATGCTATCTTGACATCCTTTAACAATTATCAGAAATTTGATTATCCTAAGACGTTGTAAGAAATGACTAATTCAAAAATCCAGTGATCCTAGGATCGAATTCTCATTCAGGAAGAACTAGACATTGCAAGTATGGTTTACAACTAATATACAAATTTTGACATCACAAGACTCCATCCAGTAGGATCAAACTTAAAAAAGGATTTGAAAGAGCCAGCCTAACAATCAAAATAGAAATAATTGGTAAACAGAAAATAGAGAAACGGAGAAGGGTAAACCAGCAGCCATAAAGCTATATACCAATATTGAAGGACTGTCCAATAAAGAAAGGGGCTAGAACAAACAAACCATCAATATTTGAGACGATGAAAAGATTGGGATCCAATCATCCTAATTATGCACTTTCCATCATATTTTCCACTATAAATTTCCTCAGAAGATTGGCTGCCTTGTGAGGAAAATAGCATTGCACAGAATACAATCATGAATTACAAAACATATGGTAGAACTACCACAACACCATCATCTTATTCTGTCAACAGCTCAAGAAATCAAAAGGCATTGACTATATTTAAGAACCTACAGTGGGATATATGACTTCTGATTTTCTCTCAAATCTCTAGTGGTTTGAAAATTTCAGTTAAACCATCCTAGTTATACCAAAAATGATGCTAAAATGAAACATAAAATCGGTCTGCAACTTAAATAATAAGTTGTAGTAATTGATGAATGCATAGATAAATCAATTATTACCTGGTCTAACAAAATCCGATAGACCAAAATCGATAACCTTCATCAGAGAATCATCTTCTTTTGAGACAAAAAGAAAATTCTGCGGAACAGGCAAAATGTATAGGGTGACAAATAATACATTGGAGAGGTAATTATATACCATCACCCAAAACAAGAAAAAATACCTCTGGTTTTAAATCACGGTGAACGACTCCTTGGAGATGACAAAAGGCAACTACATCTAGAATTTGTACAAGAATTGCTTTTGCGTCATCCTCAGTGTATCTTCCACCTCTTTACAAATTATTCATATTACAAGAATCCAATTAAAATAATGATTATCAAATCAAACTCTCTCAAAAGTCAAAAGCATGGAGGGAGTATAAGTTATAGATAGTTGAAATGATGCATAACATTTCATGTTTACCTTGAAAGAATTCTGTCAAGTAGTTCTCCACCCTCACACAATCTAACAGGAAAAGAATACCTTAATATCAGAAAAAACATAAATCATAGATATTTTATGCATCGACTACTTATCCATTAAATCTACCCATATTAAACATCCTTGGATGCACAAACCTGTGATGGAAGTCCTAATTTCAAATAACTTAAAAATTACGCAATTTGCACGGACCAACAGTAAGACAACTAGGTGGATAAAATTTTGGCAGGATTAAAAGCAATAATTTGGAAATAACTGTTTGAAGACATACTCCATCACTATGTATACGTTATTGGCGTCCTCAAATACATCATGAAATTTCACCAAATTATTATGTCCAGATAAGGCTTTCAACATCTTCACCTCCCTCCTTACATCTTCAATTGCTATTGCTGTTGTCATCTGCCATAAAAAAATCCGTTACAGTTGTCTAGCTAAATTAATCAGGTAAGTGTGAGCATGACTTAATAAGAGTTCAATTCATGTTGATACATGTTATTTAACAAACTTGAAAGTAATTATTGAAGTCGCCCCTAATCATAGGTCAAAATGATAATTGCTCTCTGTCAAATAAGAAAAAATATACATGAGAATAGGAAGTGCAGAAATCTAGAGGCAGTTTTGACAAACTATCCATGAAGGACATTTAAGTCAGCCACCGGAAGTCAAGTAGCCAAAATCAGAGTTCACATTATTTGAAGCCCATAGTGATTAGAGTAAAGGAATGTTTTTTTTTTTTTTTAAAAAATTCGTGAACCAGTAAAAGAAATCAGATGTTAGTTCCCTTTCTCCGTGATATTAATTTTTCTTCCTCATTTTTTCTTCCAAAAAAAGAGATTTCCACGCGCATCTAAATTTCATTGCCAGGTCATGGAAGTGGCTGCATAAATAGCGTCAAATTAAGATTTGAGATTATGAACCAAGTCACTTCCAGGTTCATAATGTACATTCTTAACTTTTAAATCCACTCCGAAGAACTGATATGTTCACTACTAAGTACTAACGTCCAGCAGAGGTAAACAAGAACAACTTCAACCAAACAAAAAAGGAACTTGGGGTACTTTCTTGCAAACCTCATGCTTCCTACACTAATGTTTCAGCAACAAGGAGAGATAACCTCTGAGCGTCAGGCCTGGAAGATAAGAACCTTATAGCCCATTTGATAGCGGTAGAACAATTTCCTTTAGATCAAAACTTTGTTCCTCACATGAAAAGTAACTTCCACTGACATTTGCATTTTAAGCAACACCCCCCCCGGCCCCAACGGTGACGTAATTTCAGCAACAACTAAATTTTCCATCAACTTATTTTCACCATTAACCGCAGCTGCTAACCTCTTGATTCTCTGTGTCATGGCTACTTATCTAAAGGAAATTTTTTAACAGTTCCAATAAAATTAACTAGAGGTTAGTGTACTCCAAAATGTTTAGGCAATACTTTCCTCTAAAATTCCCGTCCAAGATAAGTTTTATCTGAAGTTGTTCATATTGCAATCATTTGTTTCACAAGGGGCTTTTAAATTCTTCAAGGGCAAAACAGGCATTGGCATCCATTCTCTATTCTCATGCGAGACCAACTCAGAAAGATAATAACACGAGTTGGTCGCACAGTTGAGAACTGTATACTATACACAAGAAAGAGACATTGGACGTCGTCAGCAACATCATCTGGGAATTCTGAGAATATCTGCTATCCCAGTCGCTTCTATGATCATGTCTATAAAGAATTTGTGGGTTGGGGATGATCCAAAGAGAAAAATGTTACCTTAAATTTTCCAAGAGGCAATCTTGACTGTTGAATCATCTTTGAATTTCCAAATTCAAAAGTTACTCTAAGTAATTGTGTATCGCATTTGGCCAACATTGCATGGAATTCCAGTGCCCAAAAAATCATTTTATGGAAGAAATCTGAATGACCAAGACCACAGTCAACTCAGACCAGCTTACAGAAAAAGTTGTCCATTTGATCTCCACAGGCTATATTGTTAAGTTATTCATTTTTTGTCCATCGCAGATTTATATAAAATTAAGCGACAAATGCATATACTATGCCTCTCTAACCTTAGCTTTCGATATGATTTTCACGGCTACGGATTGCCCCTTGAGGTCTCCCTTCTTTGCTTTCGCCCAGCAAGTATGACCAAAATGTCCCCGACCTACTTCTTTTCCCAGCTCGTACTTTGCCCCCAATATTCTTTGCATATCCGAAGCTCTTGTCCAACGGCCTGTCTCCCTCTCCACCTTCGGCTTGCTCCTCGGGTATCGGCCCGTCCTTGGGTTTCGCTTTCCCCTGCCGTCTCAGTAACGCTGCCATGATCGGCTTCGCCGGCGATGGAGGCGGAAGAGGCCATCTGAATTTCCTACCCGGAGTTCTGGCCGGCGATGGCGCCACCCCAGGCGGGAGAGGGCTCGGGAAGGGAAGGGACTAGTGAAGTACTGCGCGGAAGTGTTCCTGCCAGGGGTTGCATCGCCCGCTCCTGACACTGAGTCGCCGGACGGCAGGGGCGATGCCGCCGGCTGCGGCGATTTAGGGCGGTGATCGGCTGTAACAGTTTCATTGTTGACGACCGAAACGTTTTTGCTGCAACAATGTCCCATAGGTGGCTAGGAAGACCCGACGGGGTGATCGGGAAAAGTCAAACGATCCAAGAAGAAAGCAGAAAAAGCGTCGCCGGCAAAAATTGAGAAGCCACTATAGAAAGAGAGAGACGGAAATGTGAACAAGTAGGAGAAGGAGAAGAGGACGAAGAAAAAAGGAAGGAGTAGACGGAGGAAAAGAAAATGAATTAATTTGAAAGTCAGAGAAGTATTACGATAGTCCAACATATCAATCAATGGCTGAAACTCTCTGCCTTGGAGCTTTCATAAGTATTTACTCCTTCAACCTTGTTTCTTTCTTTCTTGTTTTTTTTTTTTTCATTTCTTTTCCTAGAAAGCCCCCCTTGAAGAAGGAACAGTACTCATTTGTACCAGTCTTATTTTCATTATAAAAAACGCTGCTTAGTTTTAACAAAACAACATTTATATTACCGGAATATCTTAGCCAACGTTTTGGTGCATTGTATTTGCGTTTGACTATTTGGATTTGAAATTCAGGTTCGCAAGTAGAGGTTCATTAGCACGAATCTCTTTCTAGTTTGTGAATTGTGTTAATGTTGAATAGCTTATTCTTCTTTTTTTTCGACAAAAACTAAATGGCTGCTATTGCACATTCAATCAGATTGTGGTTACATTCAACCGCGGGGCTACGTTGTCTTGAGGGGTGTATTATAAAAAAAAATTATAAATGAGGTATATAAATTTATAACTTTACACCGCCTACTTTTAATATTTTGCATCCTCTGAATTAAATGAAAAATATTTAAGCTTAAAAAATTATTAGATATATAATATCTTAATGATCTAGGTAAGATATGAAGGGCCTATTTATAATAAAAGGTCGTATCAATATATTTAATATAATTTTTTTAAAAAAAAAAAATGATGATAAAATTGTTTTTGTTATTATAATTTTAGTTATTGCATAATTATTATTTTTAAAGAAAATTAATTTTTATTAAATTATTTTGATTCAGGGTTCTAACTCTGCCACTTATTACATTAATTGGTTGCAAGTGAGGAAATATTTTTCTAATATAAATTGTTGTCTTGATAAGATTTCACTTTTCAATATAATATCTGTTGGCCATGAAAAACTTTTCATTATAATGTGTATCCGACCTTTGCTGCATTATTCATTAAGTTATGCGATTAATTAAAAATACAAACAATATTTTCCCAGTACGTTAGCCTTTAAAAAGTAAAAACTAACACGGTGCTTGGCTTGTTGCTTGCATACCAAAAAGGAAGGTGGGGGCATGGCGGTAAATAATTTTGTTACTCCCTCCATTCCTAAATCGTTCCGGCTTAATGTTGAGACTAAGGCACGTAGATTAAGGAATTTGAAATTATTACAAAAATATTACTATACATTAACTAAAGCACATCATTTAATTTTTTTTAAGCCAATACGCATAACATTTAATTGATTTTAATGGATTTGATAAAATTTTGAAGATCAGTAATATCCAATTTCATTTGCTAGTTATGATTCCATTATTATTTAGTCTGATTGGTTTAATATATTCATTAAATTAAATTATAAGTAAACGCAAGTACAAGCTTGTAAAATATAACATAAATTCTTAAACAAGCATTGTATAACATAAATTCAGAATTCATAAATCCACCCTTCTGTGTCTATAACAATCATTTTAAAGACGCAGTGGAATATATATAGATATATATATATATATATATGTATATGTATATATATACTATTGTTATTTATATAGCTTATATCGCACTTGTTAATATAAGTGGTTTTTAATTTGACAAACAAGTTCGATCACATCAATGATTATCTTGTCCATGCGACTCTGTAAATGATAATTACCAAAGCTAGAGCCGCGATGAGCATCTGTTGAATGGAAAAGTACTTGCGTTGATAAAAAATTTAAAAAAGAAAAAGAAAAATATGTGCACTCATATCACTGCGATGTAGTAGTCTCACCTTTTTGTAATAACGTTGACAAGAGACATAAAGCGAGCTTTTATTTATAATTAATTAGTAGACAAAATCATCATCTCTAAAGTTGACTAATGCTTTTATTCAAAATTACCTGGAGGCCTTATGCATTATTTTTTTAATCCACTGACAACCGAATAAAACAAATTTCCTCCGATCTTAATTATAAAAGAAAGAAAAAGTTTTTGCGATTTGAGAGGATAGACGGTGATAAACATAATAGCATATATGTAAGGGTGGAAATAAGTGACATGGCCTTACTCGTCAAACTATTTTTAACGCAATTTTATCTTCCCAATGCCTACTGTTAGGTTTCTTTATCAAGGTGCACTACCAACAACTCCTCTCACAGTCATTGGTATGCAAGATAAGGACGGGGTGTTTGGGCGTCTCATAGATAGATAAACATAGAATCAAAAGCCAAGGGGGAGTGCATGGTGCTCAAGTTTATCAACTTAGTAAGCTGTCTACCCCTCCTTGCTTTATTTTAAAAGTTGGAAGCATGGTTGCAAAGCCTGCTTCAATTGCCCAATGTTGCTCTAATCCTTCTCACGTGGATAGTTTTCACTATGGCTATATTATGTATGTTCTTTGTTGGATATTGTTTAACCTAACCATAGACTTTCTATTATCTTAGTCAACTTATGAATAGGATCACTGCCTACCACATTCCTGACCCCCCCTCTCTCTCTCTTAATCAAAGGCCCCTTGACCTATGAGGGTACTTTTCCAATTAGTTGAGAAGTAGCCATTTGCTTCAAACAGGCACCTTGGAGAAGCTGCTTTTCCTTAACTTTATAATCCCCAAAACCAAATGAAATAGTTTCAAAATGCTCATACCAATTTGCTGAAATCCATCGACACTAAATGAAGTAGGTCGATAAAATTTGACAAGTCAACTTTAGGCGAGCGCCAAGTTCGGATGTAGATAAGGGCATCTATGAAAGTCTTTATGCTAACATCCAAAGCAAGAGTTATAGTACCACTGTAGGTAACCCAAATACTACCTCATCCAACCCTGATATAAGGACTACTCAAAGAAGTCCTACTTCAAGCCCAACTAATACTAAATATGTTCAAGTTAAATTCAGATATTCAATTAGACCTATTTAATTAGATAGGTTAAGCTTAATTTTTTAAGGTTTAGCCTGCGAGCTCAACAAACAGCCTATTTACACACACATATATTATATAATATATCATAAACATCAGTTTCATAATTGATTTTTAATCAATTTATTTTTTTATTTTCGACTATGTTTTCAATCAGATTATACTTATATATTAATTTTAATATTATTGCTTATTATTGTATTGTAGTTAGTAAGTTCTTTTAATTATTATATATTATAATTAATAAATTTGGTTATATATTTATACTAATATTTTAAAAGTATATTTGAAATATTTAAAACTAGAATACAAACTTATTTGAAAAGCTTACTCTTAAGTAAGCCTTTAGGTCAGACCAAGCTTCAGATAAGTCAAGTTTGAGCAGTGAGAAAAGCCTTATATAGGTTTCAAGGCAGGCTCGATCTTTAACTTACTACATAGGTTTAAGCTTATTTAACCGAACTTTAACTTGACTTAACATATTTTTACCATTTACATATATGACTTAAGCCTCGTAGAGAAAATAAATGTATGAGACAAAATTGTAACCTTGTGTGAAGTCATCAATATCAATAATTAATAACTAATGATGTCAAGAAAGTTCATCGAATTGCCTTCCATTACTTTTTGTTGGTTGAGGTCCAATTACAGTTTCAACAACCCTTGATATACGTTATTAGCCTTATTCCATAATTTATCAGATATGTGCATGTCCTTAGATTTAATATTATAAGTTCTCTCTATGTTTTCCCCAAAATTAAAGGTTGATTCAAATTGAAAAAATTATTTCATTTTTAAAGAAGTTAATTTATCAAAATTATCATATTTAGATGTTTTTAGAGACTTATCTCTCTCTAACATGCACTTCACTCTTCCCCTCTTTCTCATTTATTTGCCTTCCCATTTCACTCCCTTGCCTTTTCTCGAGCCTTCACTCATGACCATGACACTTCTATAGGAACCCAACCAGATCCGTTTAGATTATAATTTGGCATTGGTTTAAACACCATTCTGTTTCTTTTGGAACCTTCTCAACATAAGGCTAAGATCATGGTTCAAAGGCTAAGTCGACAAATCATGCGTTCAAAAGAAAGTGTCATCTTTGTCGCACGAGAGACATGATACTCTGTTAATTTTTAAAATCTACTCATTATGAATATCTTTGCCTCTGCTTTGGCATGTGTTTGTGTTCAATAGGCTTATTCCCAACAAGTTATTGGTGATTTGGTGGCATTTTCTTTAGGTTTTATACCACATGTATTTTCCTGGCAAAAGAAAAAATCATGTTATTCTTGCATGATACTATTTCTAGTCAGCCCATAAATGATTATTTTCGTGTTGATATAAAACAAAACAATCTAGGCTGGATGCCTAAGAATCAATTTTAGAGTGGAAGGTATTACAATCCTAAAATTTATATATGAAAGCATTCGCTAAAGACAGCTTGAAATGTGGCATTTATTGTCTTGGAAGATTCACGTAACAGTATATGTAAAGTTGCAAGGAACTTGAATCAAGCCAAGTCATGAATAGTTGTGACTTTATTAGCTCTCCCGAGCATATAAATGATCCAGTATTCTGCATAGATCTGGTGTTGTTTATATTTCAAATTAAATATTTATATATGAAATTGAACACTTTTGAAGCATTTAATTTTTGAAGTCAAATCTCATATTGTGTAGTGTAAAAAATTTGTTGAAGGGGAAATCATATGATCAGTTTGCAAAAATCTATGACCTCCAATTCCTATTGTAAGACTGCTTTTATGTTGAATTTGACTTGAGTTGTCGAAAAAGGTTATGTTCTTGCCAAACATCAGAGGTAGGTACTTTCACTTTGAAGACTGATACAGATGTTCCCATTGCATTCTCTAATCTAGAAAAAATTATAAGTTCATTTTTAGGATTATATATGGTGTCTATGTTAGCACGTCCAAGTTTTGTAATGAATAGGCCGGCCTAACTCATACGAGTTCAGATCCAAGTATATGGTTATTTTAAATTTGTTTAATTATTTATGCTCGATGTTCATTGATAGCTCCTAGTTAGCCCCTTTTTATTTATTTTTTATTTTTTATTTTTAAAAATGTAATGTTTTGCATTATAATGTTATATATTCACTATTCAAGATATAAATTATAATGTCCACA